TTATTTTAATTTTTACTTTCGAACCCTAGTAATTTCTGTGTGGCGATGAAAACATATTCTTAAATAATATTATAATATTATGTGCTACTATATATCGGGAACTTTAAAGATATGCTAAAGAAAACTGGATTATTAATCTAATTATTCTTTCTTTATATATATTGGATTAAGAATATATATATATATATATATATATATATATGTGTGTGTGTGTGTGTGTGTGTGTGTGTGTGTGTCTGTGTGATAAAAATTATTAGGAGGATTTGATAATTATAATTAAGTAATTCATCGAGTCTAGAAGAAACCTCAACAGAATGCAGAAAGCAGTGAACGGCCGTTTCGTCCTATGTTTGGGACTCATCAGCAATGTGCATCCACAACCGTAAATTGAAACCCTGACAGTTACGTTATATATATATATATATATATATATATATATATATATATATATATATATATATTTGGTTGGATAGATGTGGGTTTGTGACCCTGGGTTTAACGCTTTAGCGATCGTCAGACAAACTGATTAATAAGTTTGTCTGACGATCGCTAAAGCGTGAAACCCAGGGTCACAAACTCACATCTATCCAACCAAATATGTTAGCTCTATTCTGATATTGAGCGCTTTTAATAAGTACCGCATATATAATATATAAATAATTATACATATATATATTTATTTATATTTATATACACTTTTCACATATATATATATATATATATATATATATATATATATATATATATATATATATATATATATACCTGATTCAATGAGAACGAAAATAATTCATTCAAAAGAGGGCTCGATACCGATAGCAGAGCAATAAATATTTATTATGATTTAATCATGTAGATAAAAACACTTTACTCACTAAGATGCAACTTCGTTTCGGTGCATTTCAATTGCACCTCGACTGGTGAAACCCAAAATGTTTATGAACGTTACGGATTGCTTACAAGCAGAATTGTTCATAACCATTATGGGTTCTCACCAGTCGAGGTGCAATTGAAATGCACCGAAACGAATTTGCAACTTTTGTACGGAGTAAACTATTTTCGTCTATATGATTAAATTATAATAAATCTATATATATATATATATATATATATATATATATATATATATATATATATATTATTGATATAAAAATTAATATATATATATATATTAATAATATATTAATAACACACACACACACACACACACACACACACACACACACACACACATATATATATATATATATATATATATATATATATATATATATATATACATATTCTTAATCGAATATCCACACACACATCAAACATATATGTGTATGTGTGCGTGTGGTGAAAGCACGAATTAATTAATGACCCTCCCAATATTAATATTAATTCACTCCTCTAATTGGTTCGCAATTAGATTATCGCGACTTAGAAGTCTGACTCATTTTCGGGTCAGATATTTGCAAATTGGAAACATTAAACAATTCCGGAGAGATCGATGGTTCCCGCTATTCTTTAATTTCTGCTCCAAACCGATAAACCGGAATCGATGGATCGATAGACAAATTAACAGATAAAGGAAACAAGGCAAATAATGAAGCGACCTTCAGTGTCTCTACACTGGCCGTAAAGGTCCAATTCTATATTTATTATCCCGAAACGTGCATTGCAGTTGAAAAGTTTGAAGCCACACCCAGAATTAGCAGGGGGCTGGACTTGGCAGACGAGAGAAAATAAAAGGGAAAAGAAATCTTAGCGTCAGTGGAAAAAAAAAATTAAATATACTTATACTTTGAGATAATTTTGGAACGAAGGCGAAATAATTGTTCTACAGGAATGAAGTCCATCGGAGAATATATTGACGGGAGTAAAATTTAATCATTAAATGTGTGATTTTTTTGTTTGTTTGTTTGTTTGTTTTTTTTTTTTTTGTTTTAGTTTTTTTATTTTGTCATTTACATGTCCCGGAAAGGGATATATTTGTTCGAAGTAGCAAAGTGGTTTTGGACTACTGTAACCGGGTAGGACAATCTAGCAGGTAACCGTAATGGACTGGTCCTCGTCGTAGTAGTAGTCAATAGGCGTAGGCAATAGGTGTTGTCAATAGACGTAGTCAATAGGCGCAGACCCTGTACCTCCACATCAGTCTGTATTTATGGCTGACACCAGCCAATCATATTACTCTGAGAGGAAACCCATGTGTATGCATATTCATTACATAAGTCATCATAAAATTTCGCATAAAAACTCATATCTCCCTTTTTTGTATATGTATAATAATTTTCTCTTATTTACAGTACAATGCAACTACTTCTGAGGTCAATTTAAAAAAAAAATTACCATTGATTACCTCAGTCATTTGAATTGCAGTATATAGCCAATGCTGTATATTAAGATAAAAATTGTCGATAAAATCCCTGAAGCTCTTGGTCGTTCTGTTGCTTACTTCAAGTACATTTGACCGTCTCAGTCATTATGAAGAACCATGTGTTTCAATAGTGCACGAGTTTTATATTTGAATTAATTCTCTTTATCTCCCTATACACAGTAGCCTCACGAATCGAGAGATTACTATACACATCAGTTGCGCTAATCGAGTCAACCCTTTACATATCTAAATCAGCTCGATTGTTTTAACAAATGCCAAAAGACAGGTACTGCATTTTCTCCCAGCATGATAAAGCGGCAGGTCTACTAACCAGGCTCCAATCTTTTATGAACTCAGATTACTGCAATGGGAATCACGTATCTGTTCCCATCGCTACCTGAATTTTAACAAAAGCAAAGATGATGGCCGAAAGAACCGTCGAAAGTCCTTGCATATTTAAGGAAGGCCTAATACAGTTTATAATTTTAAAAAACAAGGATCTTAACATTCGTAGAGTGGTTAGTGTGTTAATGCATTTTTAAAATTTAGTCAGCGAAGGGTTTTCTCCATTTTATATCAGTAACTTTACTAATTTCCTTTTTGTATGAATGATTCATTGTAATATACATATATATATATATATATATATATATATATATATATATATATATATATATATATATATATTAAGAAATGGACAAAGTCCGACAATTTATTTATTAAAGACATTTTTATGGAAGATTGAAGTTTATAAGCAGTAAATTCGACCTTGCCTACCGACTGCTCCTTGTGGCCGGTAAATGTTATTTAATACTGTTTATTATAAACAGAGCATTTACTTAAATACTTGTATCTATAAAAAGAATGTTAAACATAAAAATGTCTTTAATAAAATATATATATATATATATATATATATGCCTGTGTGTTACATTAGAACATGCACATATCCACTACAATTTTGTAGCGGATATGTACAAGTTCTAATGTAACAATGCATAAGATAAATATTTACGGCTCGACATTATGTATTGAGCACTATTTTTAAATTAATGTTTTTTGAACGCTGTAATCCTACTGTTCGTTTTCGTACACTTTATATATATATATATATATATATATATATATATATATATATATATATATATATATACCCAAATATATGATTGGTATATATGGAATGAATTCCAATAACCAACATCATCACTTGATAAGACACCAAGTGTGTTGAAATAAAATGGCTATTTTTGTAGTGATTTTATAACATATTTATGTTATAAAATTTTTTTAAAAAAATAATTATATATATATATATATATATATATATATATATACATATGTGTGTGTGTGTGTGTGTGTGTATTTAAGCATCAAATTCTCTTTTAGGCGTGTCTAGATAATGTAAATAATGCAAGTAATCATAATATCTCATCTCAGAGACATAGACAGAGATAAAGACAGAGAAATATGACATAAAGGCCGGAGAGTACAACGGCCGAAACGTTGTGAATATGGCAATGAAGATGAGGATACCAGTCCGAATAATGTAAATAATGCAAGTAATCATAATACCTCATCACAGAGATAAAAAGACAGAGAAATATGACAGAAAGGCCGGAGAAGATACAACAGCCGAAACGTTAATGAATAATGGCAATGAAGATGAGGATAACAGGGGATAAAATAATGTAAATAATGCAAGTCATAATAATACCTCATCTCAGAGATATAGACACAGAAATATGACAAAGGCCGTATCGTATAACGGCCGAAACGTTGTGAATATGACAATCAAGATGAGGATAACAGTCCAAATAATACAAGTAGCTTTTCCGAAAAAATAACCAGAGTGTCTATTTCAAATATGGGTATCTACTAAAAATAAGGTTTTGAATTGATCAAAATTACGGAGGAAATATAAATACAATAATTTTTAAGAAAAAATTGTTTTATGTTTCGAATGTACGTTCTTTAAAAGAATTTTGCTGGGGTGTTCGGATTCTGTTACCAAGGGGACTAAAATATGCCGAGCCAACGGTGACTTCACATACAACCGTCGGCACAGGTTAGACCATGACAATAATCAAAAATCACTACTGGCAGAAAACGGACATTATACGAGTTCAACAGATATATGAAAATAGAAAGAAGTGTAAGGCAAGGATGTGTCTTCTCACCGGACTTTTTCAACCTATACAACGAGACAACAGAACATTATTTACATTTATTCGGACTATTGTCCTCATCTTTGGCGACACATTTATTACAACATTTCGGCCTTTCAGTATCTGTCTATATTTCTAAGATGAGGTATTATGTACATTATTTACATTATTCGGACTATTGTCCTCATCTTTGTCACCATATTTATTACAACGTTTCGGCCTTTCAGTATCTGTCTATATTTCTGAGTTGAGGTATTATGTACACTATTTACATTATTCGGACTATTGTCTTCATCTTTGGCGACACATTTATTACAGCGTTTCGGCCCTTCAGTATCTGTCTATATTTCTGAGATGAGGATTATGTACACTATTTACATTATTCGGACTATTATCCTCATCTTTGTCGCCATATTTATTACAACGTTTCGGCATTTCAGTATCTGTCTATATTTCTGAAATGAAAACATTATGTAGACTATTAACATTATTCGGACTATTGTCTTCATCTTTGTCGACTAATATTTATTACAACGTTTCGGCCTTTAAGTATCTGTCTATATTGAGCCCGAAATGAGGTATTTACAGGTTACACTATTTATATTATTCGGACTATTTACTCATCTTTGTCGCCATATTTATTACAAAGTTTCGGCCTTTCAGTATCTGTCTATATTTCTGAGATGAGGTATTATGGACACTATTTACATTATTCGGACTATTTGTTTTCATCTTTGGCGACACATTTATTACAACTTTTCGGCCATTCTACGCTCAGGCCTTCTTCAGGTGGTTCGAATGTCGAACTGAACCTTTATTTTCATTCAGTGGGGTAGATTGTTCTAGTTCCTCGTGCCATGTTTAATAGATGTCAGTTATACGTTATCTCCTATTAATTCCCTTCTCCAGGTTCTCCACTGCCTTAACCATCAACCAACTGAAGAAGACTTTTTACAACGGCCCGAAACTTTTATAATCTTTTATTATGACAAAGATGATGACAATGGTCATCCGTCATTGAGGGGGAATTAACAGGAGATCTTTCTTAACACATCCATTTCACATGGAACTAGAAACAGTCTACCCTTTGAGCGAAATTTTCGACATTTCCAACCACCTGAAGAAGGCTGGGTTTTTTTTTTTTCTTTTTTTAAATATCGAGAAAGTCAGAAAGCCAAATTTTGTAATTTTTCATCTCGGGACTTTTCTGAAAGCCGAAACTTTCTAAAATATGACAAGTGGGACAATATTGAATAATGTCTTTTCTTAATACCTCATCTCAGAAATATCATCAGATACTGAAAGGACGAAACGTTTAATTTCTTTCAAAAAAGATTTCTTTCTTTCGAATAATGTAAATATTTGTTACATGTTTCTTTCTTCTCAGCTTTCTTCCTTTTGTAATCGATTTCTCTCTTTTTTCTTTTTCTTTTAAATCTTATCCGACAAAGATCAATAGTCCGAATATTTGTAAATTTTACATAATACCTTTTCTCAGAAATATAGACAGATACTGAAAGGCCGAAACGTTGTAATTTATGGTGACAAAGATTTCTAGTCCGAATAATTTAAATCTTTTTCTCAATAATTACCTCATCTTTCAGAAATTTAGACAGATACTGAAAGGCCGAAACGTTGTAATAAATATGGCGACAAAGATGGGGACAATAGTCGAATTTTGTCTTTAGTTTTCTTAATACCTCATCTCAGAAATTTAGACAGATACTTAAGGGCTGAAACGTTGTGATAAATATGCGTCAAATATGAGGACAATAGTCGAATAATTAAAAATAGTTACATAATACCTCATCTCAGAAATATTGACAGATCTTTGAAACGTTTTGATAAATATGGCGTCAAATATGAGGACAATAATCCGAATAATGTAAATAGTGTACATAATATCTCATCTCAGAAATATAGACAGATACTAAGGCAACAGAAAACTGGAAATCCTATCAGGATTCATCATTGGCGGTCACAATCTTAACAACATAAGATATGCAGATGACACCCTGCTGATAGAAGACCCAAAGGAAACTACAAAACATTCTACAGACAGTAACTTTCTTTGAGAAGAATGGACTAATATTAACTACAAGAAGTCAGAGTGTAAGGTCATCAGTAAAAATATGAGCCCGAAATGAGATTTACAGGTTGGGGTCACTAAAATCAAGCATGTACAGAAATTTAAATATTTTGGAAATGATCTGACAAAGAACGGAATGTGCGACACAGATCCAAAGACGTATTGGCATGGCCAAAGACGAATTCTATAAAATAAGCAGAGCATTAATGTCACTGTATTATTGTCAGACTATTTCTGCGACCACATCAGCTCTCTCTTTCTTTCTTTTTTTCTTTTTTCATTTCTGTCTTTTTTTTCTTTTTCTTTCTTTCTTATCCGTCATTTCTTTTTTCTTTCTTTCTTATTTTGTCATTTTTCTTTCTTTCTTTCTTTCTTTCTTTCTTTTATTATTTCTGTCTTTCTTTCTTTTTTCTTTCTCATCCGTCATTTCTTTCTTTCTTTCTTTCTTTCTTTCTTTCTTTCTTTCTTATTTCGTTATGTTTCTTTCTTTCTTGCTTTCTTTCTTTTATAATTTCTGTCTTTCTTTCTTTTTCTTTTTTTCTTGTCCGTCATTTCTTTTTTCTTTCTTTCTTATTTTGTCATTTTTCTTTATTTCTTTCTTTCTTTCTTTCTTTCTTTCTTTCTTTCTTTTATTATTTCTGTCTTTCTTTCTTTTTTCTTTCTCATCCGTCATTTCTTTCTTTTCCTTCTTCTTATTTCATTTATGTTTCTTTTTTCTTTTTCTTGCTTTCTTTCTTTTATCATTTCTCTCTTTTTTTCTTTTTCTTTCTTTCTTATCCGTCATTTCTTTTTTCTTTCTTTCTTATTTTGTCATTTTTCTTTCTTTCTTTCTTTCTTTCTTTCTTTCTTTCTTTCTTTCTTTCTTTTATTATTTCTGTCTTTCTTTCTTTTTTCTTTCTCATCCGTCATTTCTTTCTTTCTTTCTTTCTTATTTCGTTATGTTTCTTTCTTTCTTGCTTTCTTTCTTTTATCATTTCTGTCTTTCTTTCCTCCATTTTTTTCTTTCATTTTTCTTTCCATCTATTTTATTTAAATCTATCCTTCCTTTATTTGTTTCCACTGAGTTTCTTTCTTAATTTCATTCATTTGATCTTCTGTCTTCTTTCTTTCCTTCTCTATTTCTTTGTCTTTTATTCGTTATTTCTGTCTTTCTTTCTTTATTTATTAATTAGTTATTCAATCCTTCCTAATAACAATTTCCCTTCTCTTTTTTCCTTCCTACCTGTTTTCATGTTTTCCTATCTATCTATCTATCTATCTATCTATCTATCTATCTATCTATCTATCTCTTTGTGTTTATATCTATCTATCTATCTATCTATCTATCTATCTATCGCAATCTGTTCATATCTATCTATCTATCTATCTATCTATCTATTTTAGTCTGTTCCTATCTATCTATTTATCTATCTATCGGTCTCATTTTGTTCATATGTATCTCTCTCTGTCTTTCTATCTGTCTATCTATCTGTCTGTCTCTCTGGCTGGCTGTATTTCTTTTCTCTCTTTCTTTTACATTTTCCTAACTCCATTATATATTTATTTGTGACTTCTTTTAATTTTCGTTCGAAATTTCCTCCTTTCTTTCATTCTTTCTTTCTTTCTCATCTCGTCATTTCTTTCTTTCATTCTTTCTTTCTTTCTTTCTTTCTTTCTTTCTTTCTTTCTTTCTTCTTTCCTTAATTCCTTCCTTATATACTTACTCTCGTTCATTGTTTCTTCCTTAATTTGTCTGCTACTTTAATTTTTTTCTTTCTTACTTTCATTCATTCTTTCTTCTTCCTTTCTTTTTCATTACATTCTTTTTTTTTACTTTGGTTACTTTCATTAGTTTTTCTTTATTTCTTCTATTTTCTTTATTTCCTCCTGTCTTTTTTCATTCTTTCTTTCTTTCATTCTTTCTTTCATTCTTTCTTTCTTTCATTCTTTCTTTCTCATCTCGTCATTTCTTTCTTTCATTATTTCTTTCTTTCATTCTTTCTTTCTTTCATTCTTTCTTTCTTTCATTCTTTCTTTCATTCTTTCTTTCTTTCTCATCTCGTCATTTCTTTCTTTCTTTCTTTCTTTCTTTCTTTCTTTCTTTCATTCTTTCTTTCTCATCTCGTCATTTCTTTCTTTCATTATTTCTTTCTTTCTTTCATTCTTTCTTTCTTTCATTCTTTCTTTCTTTCTTTCATTCTTTCTTTCTTTCATTCTTTCTTTCTTTCTTTCATTCTTTCTTTCTTTCTTTCATTCTTTCTTTCTTTCATTGTTTCTTTCTTTCTCATCTCGTCATTTCATTCTTTCATTATTTCTTTCTTTCTTCATTTTTCATTCCTTCTTTCTGTCTTATTCATTCTTTCTTTATTCCTTTCTTTCTCATTCCGTCATTTCTGTTTTTTTCCTATTTTTTCGTTATTCGATTGTTTCTTTCTCTCTTTCTTTTTTGTTTTTCTTATCCCGTCATTTCTTTCTTTATTTACATCGTCATTTATTGCTTTCTTTGTTCATTATTCCTTTCTTTCTTTTCCCTTTCTTTCTTTCTTTTCCCTTTCTTTCTTTCTTTCTTTCTTTCTTTCTTTCTTTCTTTTCCCTTTCTTTCTTTCTTTTTTTTAAAAAATTCTGCCTTTTATTCATTTTTTATACCTTCTTTCTTTTTCATTCCTTTTATATATTTATTTTTACTTTATTTCTACTTTCTTAATTTTCATTCTTGATTTCTTTATTCTTCATTTCTGTCTTTCTTTCTTTAAGTTCAGTCAATTTATTCAACCAATTAATTTCAGCCTCCATTTCTTTTGTTTGCTGCTCAAATGTCATTTTATCGAAAATGGGTGCTATTTGTTTCCATTTCTCTCTGCCTTTCTCTCCCTTCATATTTTTTTTATTTTTTTAAAATTATGCTCTTTATTTCTAATATTCTAATGCACCCCGTGTAGTTTTTATCTGTCCGCAGTTTCAATCGCATTTATATCCGCCGATTTCTATTCCGTTCTTTTTTATTTTTTCCTTTTTCCTCTTAAACTTCTTTTTTGTTTAATCTCTTTACAATTTCTTTCCGTTCTTTCATTTCTTCCATGTTTTTTTTTATCTTCTTTTTCTTTTTTTTTTTATATTTCATTGTTCATTCCGCGAATAAATATTATATATTTGTTTAAACAATAACAGGAAACTGCACTCTAACCGCTTCCAATTTACAGAATGGACTCCGAATCTTAAAAGCAAGAGGGCGTCTTTCTATCGTCTGATTTTTATTTCTCGGAAGACATGCTTTGTTGGCACGCTCATTTCTTCCTTCGTGTTATTAAATATAAGAAGCCCCACAGCGGCGCCATGTTGTTTCGATCAACTTATATGGACTTTGGGGACCGTTCCCGACGGAGGCCCAGCGGGATTCCAACAGTATCGATCGGCGCAAATTGTTATCGATTTCGTTGTTTTAATGATATTGTCTGCAAAGGAAGAAGACATGCATGGAAGTCTGCCTCATCTTTTTCGTTCATTTCTTCTCTTAAACTTAATTTTTTCCTCAACATCTTTTAACTTCCGCCATTTTAGATAAAACTGCATTTGTTTTAAACGTCGCTTCATCAAAAACAAAATAGTCCACATTTCTTTTAATCCGATGTTCATTCTGTAAATGGCACAAGAGCCACTTAAGCTAGAGTGTTATACATCCTTGTGAAAAGTAATTGAAACAAAACGAATAATTGCGTTATTATCTACTTTTTTTGGTATTTTACTAATGAAACATGACCCAGTGCACATGTTAATACTTCGTATGTGCATTCCATGATGTCTTTCCTTGCAGATTGGCCAAAGATTCTTGATTGGATTTAAATCAGGAGAATTTTCGGGCCAATCTATAGCACTTTGATTTGCTCACTGGTACTGCTTTCTAGTGTGTTCCTGCAGCGTTACAATTTTTGTACGCTTCCTTAGAGTAACGTCCATCGCAGACAATGGCCGTGGGACAAGTAATCGACAGTCGAGACAATAGTGTCTGAGCGTGATGAAAATCTAATGCAATCACGGATGACGCAGTATTTTTCAAGGCCAAATAAATTTCATCACAAACCCCGAAAATAGATTCATACACCATTTCAAATGACCTAATCTGCGGAAAATAGGAATCGATTAAACCCTATGAATCCAGTGGGTCTAAAACTGACCGTATGGTGAAAGAAAGGAAACTAAAGCGGTAGTTTAAATTCATTTGCACAAGGGTGTAGGGTAAGAGGTACCGTCCCAAGCAAGATGATATAACCAACAAGACGCAAGGGGGTTACTGTTCAGAAAATCGGGGAGGTGTTTGAACCGGATTTAATCAATAATTTTAACTCCTGTGGCATGGGAAACTGTACATTTCCACATCTTCTCTAAGCAACGCTTGTCCTTTTGTCATCGCACCCAATCCATGCTTCTACCTGTTTCACTATGCCTTTCTTTCCTTCAATATGACTTGTGAGTATCAAATTTCTTAAGCCTTCTTTCCTCATTACGTGTTTTAGAAATTTGAACAGTCTCTTTTCTGATTTAATATAAGCGTTCTTTTTCCCCCATTTTCCTTAAAATCGTCTTTACTCACAGTCTGCGACAATCCTATTCCCAGAGTTACTTGCTTTCAATATGCCCCGTGAGTATTATATTCTCCAAGCGATCTTTCCTTTTTATGCGTCGCAGAGATTTCAACTGTCCATTTCTGAAACCAAAAAAAAAATCAATTCAAAAATTTATTGCTGGAAGTATTTCAATTTTTTTTTCTCTTTTTACAAAATATTTCTGATATTGAAACAGTTTTTTACACATTCATGGTGTTTTTACCCCAGTTTCGGGGTTAACTATTTGCCCATAGCTGGGACCCTAACAGGTGCTACCGCCGCGGGTCAGGGTGAACCTGGGAACACCAGCAATTAAGAGGTGGTTCGACGCTCCTCAAAACCTCCTGCTAAGAGGCCTTGCTGCTGGACGTAGTTTCTCGTCTTACCCTGGACGCAGATATAGTTTATCGTCATACCCAGGACGGAAAAAAAATACATTTTAATATTAAAATTACCACCAATACATTTTACAAAAAAAATGACCAACAATACATGTCAATTGTAAAATCACTTGCAATGCATTTTTATCTATAGGTGAAGCCATAAATTTGTAATCCAAAAATTTAATTTGGCAGTAAATAAACCATAGCGATTGCTACGCTGCTAAAAAAAATCGACCAAGTAACCAAACATCCGACATGAAAGAACTCTTTCATGACATTAACCCATATTATATCCAAGAATTTATTAAATCTAACTTCATCCCGAAATATAACTCCAAAATAAAACATATCACCGTGTATATTAATAATGTCTAAACAAACATGAATAAGCACAAAGCGGTGCATCATCTACCATATATGCTATTGTGAAAGCAAAACAACATATATTTTTTATTACTTCAGAGATATTAAGAAAATTAAATTTCGGCATTAAATGACCCATAAAGAATCAATATTCCGTTAAATAAATCAACCAATCATGATAGGTTGCTTATATATATATATATATATATATATGAGGTGGTGTAATGTTTAGCAAGTTTGTCACGCGAGAACAATTACAACTGAGTAGGGTGTTCGATCCTCACTGGTTACTCCATACTTTCGGCCTTGTGCCATATCTGAGCTAACCTAAGAAAATCACTATATCTATCTATCTATCTATCTATCTATCGATAGATAGATAGATAGATAAATAGATAGATATTGGTCGAGTTCGACTTGAAGCAACACACACACACAGGCATATATATATATATATATATATATATATATATATATATATATATACATACACACACACACACACACATATATACAGAGAGTGAGACTGAGTGTCAATTTCTTTAAGCCCTCTATTTTATCATGCTTCTCAGATAAAATAAAATATATATATATATATATATATATATATATATATATATATATATATATATATATATATATATATATGCAAATGGCAGATCTCTTTTTCTGATGTTAAATGTATTGTTTCGTCCATGGCATTCTAAGTATATTCGCTTCATCTGTGAAGATCATGCCTCGAATTCACTGGCAACCTGTATTCCAGGATAGCAGTCTACCAAGGCAGCAAGCCAATCCCAATTACAGACGCATGCTCAAGCGCATCTATGTTTATTTAACACCTACAGAGCCCACCCGTGGTTTATACTGCAACTATGGCCGTAGTTTCTGGGAAAGACCGTGTTTTCTAGCGTAATCAACAGTTTGAACAAGACTATCTCGCTCAAGCCCTCAGCACAGCTATCGCTGGCTCCCAAGGAGTTCCTTGGAGTTCCAAAAGAGTTTCTTGCTATGGTTTTCAGGTACTTTCTAAAGGTGCCTATCCCCAGTTCGATAACCTCAGGAAGTCTCCTTCTTGGCACATTCCTCGGGGTGAGAATCAAACCCTCGTCTCACAGAATGCGAACGTTCAGACATACCCAGAATTCACTGAGATATAGAAGGATTATTTTTATATAACAGTTAAGTATTACTACCTTAGGTGCTATTCTAAACTAGATTAAATTATAGGGCGTTTCACAATTTTTGAAACAAAATAATCGGGCACGAATCAAGGACCCCAAATGATCAAGTAATGGAAATTACATTTATTGAAAGGCAAAAGGATAACATTTTAGAATCTGGAATCATTTGGCATAAAAACGTGAACCGAAAATATCAAGAGGAATCTCAGGGTATATTCCCCAGATGTCTGCTGTTCTGTTGCAAGCACTCTTGAATGCAAAGTTGTTGATAACGCGTGCACATTACTCCTGGGAGATCGCTTGAAACTACTCAGTGATGGTTACCTTCAAAGAAGCAACGGTGCAAGGGTTGCGAGGGTAGATGTGGAAACCCGAAACGATGACATTTTGGCGGTAAGTGGGTGCAGGCGAGTGAGGTTTCCCTTCCGCTTCAGCTTGCTTCGCGGGTGATGAGACGACCCCCAAAACTTTTCACGAAGCTATGCCATGGTAATATTAGCAGTGTGAGGAGGACCACTACCCTACTTGAACCACTGTTCCCCCTCATCAATGTCCTTACTCTCCTCAGGCTCTTCCCATTTGAGAGTCCGATGCTTCCACAATTATGGAAAAACCTGTTATCTCAGTTATTCCTTGGACTCGTTGTTATTTGATCGGTAGCAACACCCTCTTTGAACCCGTAAGCAATAATATAAATTAACATACCAATTTTCTATATTTGAAATTAAAAATAATTTTCTAGCTGTAACTCTGTCGGTAAACTTTCTATAATTACTTAACAAGTTTCGGTTTATTGCGTGACTATTATAATATAAGACTAATATGTTCTTTAGTCTGGCAAAGCCACACTCAATTTCTTAACGCTTGTAAAGGAGCCAGCACCTATCAGTTCCATTATCGTCTTGTACACACCAATAACTGTTTAGGTGTGCATTCGTATCTTTAGATAGAGAACCGGAGAATAAATTAAAATTGGCAGAAATGGAAGGTAAATTTTAACACCAAAAGAAAACGGCTCTCTTTTAGTCGTCTTACAAAACCCTATCTTTGGCCTTCCATCTGCATGGCAGATGCTAACCTCATAG